CCGTAAGCATATTTTTTGCCTCACCAATAAATTGTATACAACAACTTATTTTATTAAAATTTTGATGGTGGTCAACAATCAGACTTTGAGAAAATTATTTTAGATAAAAAATTCTATAAATATTTTGAAAAATCTTTTTAGTTTTGTTAAAAGTACTGGTTTTCTGAATTGAAAGTTTTCAGTCTTCATGAGAGTTTAAGGTTTCTGATTTAAAGATCAACTCTAAGATCTTGTACCATAAGTACAAAATTAAGATTCATTACATGTAGCACTGTTCTTAGTACTTCAGATCTCATTTTACAGCATTTATAGTTTCAGAAAAAATAACTACACAAGCTTCTTTTTATTTTATCGTGAGGGTTGAGTGTTCGAATTGTAAGTACCCTTGTCACGTGTTATAATTATCACATAAAATTTTGTTACGTGCTCCTCGTTAATTACTTTAGTCTAAACTAAGGGTTATGTCTAATAAAATTAAGGAAGTTTTTAACCTCTTTTTTTAAGCTCTTATGTAGAAAGCCGAGACACGGGCGTAGACCAATAATTTTTGGGCAACGAAAAAATGCGTGATCTGTTTAGAATTTAAAAATCATGATTAATATAGAAATAATTAAAAATCTAAAGATGGCTCATTGTTTCATATTTTCTCCTAGGCACTTAGGGGGTAGCCATCAGCAACAAAAATACAACTTTATCGTACTCAAGTTCTCTGCGAAAGCACTGATTTTATGATTTTATGAAAGAAGGACGGCGTAAAACTGGACACACATGGTATTAGCTTGTCGACGTAAAATAGCTGCTGCAAAAAAGTCTCGTTCATGCATTAGTCTGTAATCACCTTCTTCAGCCACATATAGCATACTTGAAAAAAGACTCCTTAGGCTACATTTTCAGGATATGCAAACAGTTCATCGGCCCTATTCTAGTCATTATAGAATTCTAAATTAAATAAAATTTAATCCTCTCTTCCTTTCCAATGGTGTAACCAAATCATAATTTTCATATACCTACCCTAGATGTTGTTGCTGGATATGCGATACTTACGCATTTTTGCTTTCTAGTGGAAAACATCAAGACATTTTTTCTAACAACTCACACTTTTCTAAAGAAGATTGTCTTTTTTATACAGGAAACTTTTGTTTTTCGGGTTAACATTATATTTCAACATTTAAATTGATTTTATGAATCAAGAATCAGCGTATATTTGGATATTATCACCTAATAGACCAGATCACATAGGTTGATAATGACTCTGTGTAACTTGCAGAAAAAAAAAAATTAAGCTGGCCACTACTGAAAAAGCATATTTAATTATCGAAATATTACTTCTACACTATTTATAGGAGTTTATTTACTCAAGACTCTAATTTAGCTTATTATCACAATGTAGTAGGGTTAAATGATAAACTAAAACCAGCCGCATATAAAATTGATGAGTGGTAGTTGTTTATAGACTCCCTCACAAGGAATCTTAAGGGTGTCTTGTTGCACAATATAAATAAATTTGCTCTAATCCCAGTTGCTCACGTTACTCTATTAAAATAAGAATATACAAACATAAAATTTGTATTTAGAAAATTTAACTACGAAAAGCACACATAGTTGATTTGTAGGGACTAGAAAATTTCATCAATGATTCTGGATCGACAGTCAGGATTCACGAAACATCCATGATTTCTGTGTAAATGGAATAGCCAAGATCGACAAAACTATTACGATAAGAAGGAATGGACACTTAGAACGTCTTTACAGCCTAGTTTAAAGAACGTTATAAAGCAGCCATTAATTGAGCCGAGTACAATTCTTTTACATCCTTTACATATCAAATAAGAATTGATGAAACCGTTGGTTAAGGTTTTGGACAAGGAAGGGTAATGCTTCAGACATATCAAGCGAGTTTTATCTAAATCGTCGGTTGATAAAGACTATCAAGGTGTGTATAATGGACCACAGATCCTTACTTTATGGAGGGATAAGCTTTTGTGACTACTTTGACCGCTTCTGACAAAGTAACTTGGTTTCAAATATGTCGTGGAAAATTTTTTTCGAAATACTAAGAATAAACAATACGTTAAAATTGTTAAGAACATGTTAGAGAGTTACCGAGAATTACAATGTCTCAAAAATCTAAAACAACATTTTCTCAACTCTCACCTGGACTCTTTCCCAAAAAATATTGGAGATTTTAGGAAAGAGCAAGATAAGTGATTTTATAAGGATATTACAGAGATGAAGAAACATTATCAAGGACCGCAGGATAATGATATAATGGCTGACTTTTGGTAAACATTAAAACAGGAGATGAGAGAGAAGAAAAGTATAAAACGTAAATGAAATTTACTACGCAGATCTTTTAAGGATAAAAGGTACGTAAACGAGCAAAAAATCAAATAAAACATGTATTAAGGTATAAGCTTTCAGCCTACTTGAGGCTTCGAGATTGTAAGACTTCTTAATTTTTTCAATTTCTTGGGTTATTATGTGAGCAGTCCGTTTCTTTGTGCACTGAAATATAAGATATTGATAATGCTGGCCTAGTAGGAACTTGAACATGATGAATAAGGTGTTGTATACTGATTTTGTGAATTTCCTGACTTTGAACAGCGATTTACTCAAAATTTCGATGCAGGACCCCTACAGTCTGACTTGGGATTCTGATTCAACATCAAAAAATACGTAAGAAAACATATTTTTCATGCTCAGTTCCAAAATTTGTTTTTCTTTGTGGGCGTATGTTTTCCATGTTATATCCTTAAATTGATAGTTAGTATGCGAGACAAGGGTAACATACAGCTGTGAACCATCATCATACTTAACATACGATACTTAAATATGCTTTTTCAGTAGTGGCCAGCTTAATTTTTTTTTTTTTTTGCAAGTTACACAGAGTCATTATCAACCTATGTGATCTGGTCTATTGGGTGATAATATCCAAATATACGCTGATTCTTGATTCATAAAATCAATTTAAATGTTGAAATATAATGTTAACCCGAAAAACAAAAGTTTCCTGTATAAAAAAGACAATCTTCTTTAGAAAAGTGTGAGTTGTTAGAAAAAATGTCTTGATGTTTTCCACTAGAAAGCAAAAAAGCGTAAGTATCGCATATCCAGCAACAACATCTAGGGTAGATATATAAAAATTATGATTTGGTTACACCATTAGAAAGGAAGTGAGGATTAAATTTTATTAATTATACTTATAGGTCTATACTATTTTAGGATCTTTTTAGCTGCTTTTGAACGAGTTAAACATGGTGATTTTTCGATAAGAAGTACGGTTCGCGTCTTGGGTAGTCAGCTTTCAATGAACGTTCTAATACATAAAAGTTTAAGGAAGCTCATATTAAGTTTTACACAAGATTTTTAAATGTAAAATAGTGAATCTTAAATAACAAATAAGGTACGTATTACTTTATTAATTTTTGGAAGAAGAATATGTATCAGAATATTGGACCTTTTGTACTATTAGAGGATTTCTAAAACTCCGTGTTAACACTTTCGGTATCCTTATGTTTATATTCATACCACAAAATTTTCAGGTATTTATTTACGCAGAATTGACGTTATAACGATGCAAAATTCGTAATTCATTAAGCTGTATTAAATAGATCATAGTCATACATGACCTTAGAACCTTTATTCAAAGAGAAAATAATTTTCTGACTAGAATAGGGCCGATGAACTGTTTGCATATCCTGAAAATGTAGCCTAAGGAGTCTTTTTTCAAGTATGCTNTAATTCTTAATCTATACTTGGGCTATACATACATATGCATTTTTAAATATATATGTATACATGATGTACATACAGTTGTAAGGATTTCAATGATAGCTTAGCTTCGATGCCCCCCTTACCCCCTATAGCCCATCGTATTGACGAAATATTGTTGTTGTTTGTACGCTTATTTTCCTGTGAAATTTAAATAAATCTTGTCGCCTGACCTCCTCTCTTTCGCATGATCCCTTAGGCCCCCGTGCAAAAAAAAAAACAATTATTTAACTATATGTTCTTTGTCAGTTTTAAATCTCTAAAGTTTTAACAAATAGCTCTTTTTATTCACTATAACGTGAGAGAGTGTAAGCCAACGGCTCTTTAAGGCCAACAATTATTTTATGGCGTAAGGAAGCACGGTACTTCCGAACAAAAATATTTAGAATTAAAAAGTTTTTTATTCCAAAAAGTGTCAAAAATAGATGTAAAATTTTTAACTGAAAATGTTTTATGTTACGTGTCAACACACTATGGTCTATTCAGTGAGTCTCGGGTGAAGCAGAGACTGGGGCGGTTATTAGTATTGTACCATACAAAAATTGAACGTAATTGGTAAAAGATTTTGGAAATGTAAGATTTTTCTATTTATTATAGGTTTTTTCCTAAACTATTGCAGGTTTAAAAAATTTTCATAAAAAATAGATAGTGCTTATAACATCATTAGGAATAGTACACACAAATTTTTGGATAATAATTCTCTTGTTTATATAATGTATGCTCATTTGCATGTTTGTAAATTTTATTTTTTGCCGCGAGTGTACATCTTGAGGTTATTCAAACAACTTTTACGAAGAGTCTCATCAACGATCAAGGGGACATTTATCGTTCTTATTAACTAATAGACCAAAAATTCCATTTATTAAAACTAAATTACAAAGAACTGTAAGAATTCTAGGAAGTTTTTATAATTTTAGTTTGAGCATTACCATTTTTAGGTAGTTAGTAAGCTTTGTTGGCAATCAAGACAAGATAATTTAGCAGATTGTCACGATATATAATAGAGCGTAGAGAAGAACGTTCTTAACATTGATTACAAAAATAAAACATTATCATTGGATATTTGTAAATGTAAAATGGATGTACAATAAAAAAATGTGGACTAAAAAATGTTGATTATAATTAGTAGAGAAAAAGTTGAAAAAGGTAAGTACGGCACAAACATGCATCTTTTGAAAGACCCAATAACCCCTTATCTAGTGAGCACATGTTACTTTTATTCTACTTGCCTATTGTCGTTACTGTGAGTAGGATATTTCGGAAATAATGAGATAATCAAAGCAGCAACTGAAGATGGTTTATTGGATAACGTATAGCTTCCCCCACCAATGAAAAGGAATCCAAGAGCCATGTGAATAGCAACATGTGAACCATATGTTACGACACTATTGGTGGGACCAACTCTTGTTCTTAGGTGCCTGCAGACTCTTATAATCTGTAACAGTAAAAGTTGAGAGTTACACAATGTTGTGTCATAGTTTCTAATATCAATTCAACATAGTATATTGTTTATCATTTAACTTAATCTTACGGCATCAAGCATAAAATAAGCAACAAATATTATTGATTTGATAAAAAAAAAAAATTGTGTACTAAACTACTTTATCTAATACTAAAAAAATAATAAGTTGACTCATTATTTGGATTTGACAAAGATAACTAATACATTATCTTGGTATGAAAATAAAAAAAATAGAATGAAATAAGCACACTAGTACAACACAATAGCACGTTAAGTCGTGTTTCATGGGAGAAATTGCAGTATTTTTTGTTCAATCATTGTAAATTCTTGTCGTTACGGTTATAAAATGAAATTTATTTTTGTATATGCGTTTTACAGTTTTAAAACAAAGTTTTTTATGTCGCGTACTGGGGGGGCTGGAATTTTAAAACTGACAGATTTCATGAAACGGAAGTAGCTTACCGAAAGTCTCTTCCTCCTAAGTGTCCCCCCTTACCCCGTCGCCCTCACCTTCAGTTCCCTACACACTTCCCCTCACCCCGCCATATATCTTCTGACTCTGCCACGCTACTATCCTGCACACCTTTGCCCACCATTCCCCTTCACACTCCCAAGCGATTAATTTTTGAACAAATTTTAATTTTCTTTTCCTACAATGATTTTCCACTTTGATTTTTTTTTCTTCTACAATTCTTATATATTTAGTTTTATCACGTATCTTACTTATATGTAAAGCAAAGTCACAATAACCGTTGTAATCGCTAACCATGAAAACTGCTCATCTAATTTTGCTAAAACTTTTTCATACTGACTCTTGACACTTGCTAGATGGTTTTTGTATTGTTTTCAACTCAAAACAATTAATAACAATAGCAATAAATGAGCTTGAAGTTTGGTAAAAATACGCTAGCTTTTTCCTTTCGTTCAGTAGGATCCACTCGGTAGTGTCGAAGTAAAATCGAAGCTACCTGTAATAGAAGTAAGTGGGTCTGTTTGTAATATCCCCAAACAAACTGCCGAATACGGTAGACGTTCACCAGCAGCGCATTAAAAATAGAGTTGTAAGTCGTAGACAAGCGACTTATGTCGAATTTCTTCCCAAACCACCAAGATTAATGAGTGCTATGAATAAAAGGCGTTATAAACACCAACGTCTCCGGTGTAATACCAGGAGACGTCTAGCTAGACCAAAATCTGTTCTAACCATTGAGGGTTTTGTGGTCATTCTTTCAACTGATCTTGTGTTACCAGGGCAGATTTTTCTTCAATAGCAAGTTAGGGAAAACAACCCTGAGAAGTTCAGGTAGCCACATTGGCTGGAAGTTTTATCAGCGTCCTCCTCAGTGGTTCGTCCTAACGGCACATACCCATAGAGGAGGTGTTCTCTAGGCCCACTTCCTCAACTAATGGTGAACGGTTGGTTATCCAGGAAACAACCCGAAGACGAGATATTCTTCTGGCAGTGGCGTACCCCCCTCGAGCACGGTCTTCATACACAGAGACTCCGAGAGTTAGAGTCAAGCTACCCGCAGCCAGCTTTCCATAATCGACAATAATAATAAGGAATATCTGGATGTATCAGTGCTGGGCCTTTTCAGGGCCATCATACGTATTTATGTTCCCCAATCAACCATCAATATTATGAGTTCTTTTGAAGGCCATCTAACGTTAAATTAGCTTGCCACTAAATACATTTAACATTTTTTTGGTAATAAATCTGTAAGGTTTAAAGAAAAAAAAAAAACAATTATTTAACTATATGTTCTTTGTCAGTTTTAAATCTCTAAAGTTTTAACAAATAGCTCTTTTTATTCACTATAACGTGAGAGAGTGTAAGCCAACGGCTCTTTAAGGCCAACAATTATTTTATGGCGTAAGGAAGCACGGTACTTCCGAACAAAAATATTTAGAATTAAAAAGTTTTTTATTCCAAAAAGTGTCAAAAATAGATGTAAAATTTTTAACTGAAAATGTTTTATGTTACGTGTCAACACACTATGGTCTATTCAGTGAGTCTCGGGTGAAGCAGAGACTGGGGCGGTTATTAGTATTGTACCATACAAAAATTGAACGTAATTGGTAAAAGATTTTGGAAATGTAAGATTTTTCTATTTATTATAGGTTTTTTCCTAAACTATTGCAGGTTTAAAAAATTTTCATAAAAAATAGATAGTGCTTATAACATCATTAGGAATAGTACACACAAATTTTTGGATAATAATTCTCTTGTTTATATAATGTATGCTCATTTGCATGTTTGTAAATTTTATTTTTTGCCGCGAGTGTACATCTTGAGGTTATTCAAACAACTTTTACGAAGAGTCTCATCAACGATCAAGGGGACATTTATCGTTCTTATTAACTAATAGACCAAAAATTCCATTTATTAAAACTAAATTACAAAGAACTGTAAGAATTCTAGGAAGTTTTTATAATTTTAGTTTGAGCATTACCATTTTTAGGTAGTTAGTAAGCTTTGTTGGCAATCAAGACAAGATAATTTAGCAGATTGTCACGATATATAATAGAGCGTAGAGAAGAACGTTCTTAACATTGATTACAAAAATAAAACATTATCATTGGATATTTGTAAATGTAAAATGGATGTACAATAAAAAAATGTGGACTAAAAAATGTTGATTATAATTAGTAGAGAAAAAGTTGAAAAAGGTAAGTACGGCACAAACATGCATCTTTTGAAAGACCCAATAACCCCTTATCTAGTGAGCACATGTTACTTTTATTCTACTTGCCTATTGTCGTTACTGTGAGTAGGATATTTCGGAAATAATGAGATAATCAAAGCAGCAACTGAAGATGGTTTATTGGATAACGTATAGCTTCCCCCACCAATGAAAAGGAATCCAAGAGCCATGTGAATAGCAACATGTGAACCATATGTTACGACACTATTGGTGGGACCAACTCTTGTTCTTAGGTGCCTGCAGACTCTTATAATCTGTAACAGTAAAAGTTGAGAGTTACACAATGTTGTGTCATAGTTTCTAATATCAATTCAACATAGTATATTGTTTATCATTTAACTTAATCTTACGGCATCAAGCATAAAATAAGCAACAAATATTATTGATTTGATAAAAAAAAAAAATTGTGTACTAAACTACTTTATCTAATACTAAAAAAATAATAAGTTGACTCATTATTTGGATTTGACAAAGATAACTAATACATTATCTTGGTATGAAAATAAAAAAAATAGAATGAAATAAGCACACTAGTACAACACAATAGCACGTTAAGTCGTGTTTCATGGGAGAAATTGCAGTATTTTTTGTTCAATCATTGTAAATTCTTGTCGTTACGGTTATAAAATGAAATTTATTTTTGTATATGCGTTTTACAGTTTTAAAACAAAGTTTTTTATGTCGCGTACTGGGGGGGCTGGAATTTTAAAACTGACAGATTTCATGAAACGGAAGTAGCTTACCGAAAGTCTCTTCCTCCTAAGTGTCCCCCCTTACCCCGTCGCCCTCACCTTCAGTTCCCTACACACTTCCCCT